AAGCGGTCACAGAAGACAAGACCTTCACCCAAACACCAAAGATCATCAGTGTTGACCCATCAGAGGGGAACACAGAGTTTCCCAGTTCAAAGCCAAGGGCAGTGCAGGCTCTCCAGCTCTGCCCAGAAATGCAAACCACCCACCTGGGAAAACCTGTTGGATCATGGGGAAAGCCTAAGAAAGAAGTTCCCAGTTTGCATTTGCACGCTTCTTTGGGCTGTAGCTTCTGAGTAGCAAAGAGCCTCTGGCTGTCTGGCCTACGGCTTGCTTTCAGTGTTGCTCTATAAATCTAACTCTGCTCACGCTATCGATTGCTTTGGTGAATTCTTGCATCACCCATGACACTGTCCTCAACTGTTTGCTTCTTGCAACAGTAACCTTCTAGGAAACTTTGAAAGAAAAAGCATTGCCACCTGGTACCTCAGCTCGAAAAGTTAGGCTCAAAACCCTCCCTCATGCCTTGTGCCTCGGAAGATGTAAAAGAGTCAATATTTATACCAACTCTGTTTTTTCTGTTACATGCCTATGGGATATTTAGAAGCAAAGAGGATGTCCTTCTTGAATACTGAAGTCTTTCTACTGAGGTAGGCAGTCTCTTAAAACCAAATATCTCTATGGGGGCAGAGCTGTGGCGCAGTGGGTTAACGCCCTGGCCTGAAGCGCCGGCATCCCATATGGGCGCCGGTTCGAGACCCGGCCACTCCACTTCCTATCCAGCTCTCTGCTGTGGCCTGGGAAAGCAGTTTAAAATGCCCCAAGTCCTTGGGCCCCTGCACCCACATGGGAGACCAGGAAGAAACTCCTGGCTCCTGGCTTCGGATTGGCACAGCTCTGGCCGTTGCGGCCAATTGGGGAGTGAACCAGTGGATGGAAGACCTCTCTCTCTCTCTGCCTCTCCTCTCTCTGTGTAACTCTGACTTTCAAATAAATAAATTAATCTTAAAAAAAAAAAAAAAAAAAACAAATATCTCAGTCATCCTCAGAGCCACCCAGGGGGGATCTGTGCCCTCACTAAAACAGGCTGTGGTGTGGTCAACCCCAGCAGCTCTGGGAACACCTGCCTAGCTCTCCAACGTAGGCACCCCCAGATTAGTGCAGTATCTGACTCCACACTTGAGCTTCAGCCAGTGGCTTTACTCCTGGTTTGGGACTGAACATCCCTAGTGACAACACCGCTAATCTTTCTGGTACAGGAATATGGATATGTTGTTCTTTTATTGCTTCTGGGAAATGATGGTGCACCTGCAAGATAAGTGATTCAGAAGCTACCTGAGCCAAACCTCATCATGATGCGGAGACTCTCCTTGGTTGAACCTGAGACAAAAAACTTTTTTGAAGAAGAATCACCTACAGCTTCCTCTCCTCTGGTTTTGACAGTTACTACTATGCCCAGGTTCGGCAGGAAGTAGCTAGAATGATCACCGCCTCTCTACATCTCAAGATTGAGGACCTATAAGACACTGGAGGGACTATAACAGCCCATCCCTATAGCTCTTGATGTAGATTTTATCAGGTTTCAATATCTCCATAGTCTGCAGTTTCTTCTAAAGATTAGCTCATTAAGTTAAGAGAGTGACACAGTTGCCCCTGAAGTTAACATAGTTAACATCTCCTTGCTAACCTCTATTCTAAATTTTTTTTAAATATTTATTTAATTTTTTGAAAGTCAGAGTTACACAGAGAGAGAGGAGGCAGAGAGAGAGAGAGAGAGAGTTCTTCCATCTGCTGGTTCACTCCCCAAATGGCTGCAATGGCCAGAGCTGTGCCAATCCGAAGCCAGGAGCCAGGAGCTTCTTCCAGGTCTCCCACACAGGTGCAGGGGCCCAAGGACCTGGGCCATCTTCTACTGCTTTCCCAGGCCAAAGCAGAGAGCTGGATAGGAAGTGGAGCAGCCGGGTCTCAAACTGGCGCCCATATGGAATGCCAGCACTGCAGGTCAGGGCGTTAACCTGCTGAGCCACAGCGCCAGCCCCATCTATTCTAAATTTTTTTCTATTTATTTGAGAGGCAGAGTTACAGAGAGGCAGAGGCAGAAAGAGAGAGAGAGAGGTCTTCCATCTGCTGGTTCACTCCTGAAATGGCTGCAATGGCAGAGCTGTGCCATCTGAAGCCAGGAGCTTCTTCCAGGTCTCTCATGTGGGTGCAGGGGCCCAAGGACTTGGGCATCTTCTACTGCCTTCCCAGCCTATCGTAGAGAGCTGGATCGGAAGTGGAGCACTGGCACTTGAACCAGTGCCCATAGGGGATGCTGACACTGCAGACAGCAGCTTTACCTGCTACGCCACAGCTCCAGCCCCACAGCCTCTATTCTGAAATCTTGCAAGAACACATAGGCCGGACTCTAATTGCAGGTCTTGAAACTCTTTATCATATCTCTAGCTAACACATGGTGTTAGACTTACTTGTTTGTTTGAAAGGCAGAGTGAGAGAGAGAGAGAAGGAGAGACAGAAAGATCTTCCCTTTTCTGGTTCACTCCCCTAAAATGCCCATGATAAGCAGGGGTGGGCCATGCTGAAGCCAGGAGCCAGAACTCCATCTGGGTCTCCCACATGGGTGGCAGGGATCCAAGTACTTAGGTTATCATCTGCTGCTTCCTAGCTGCATTAGCAGGAAGCTGGATCAGAAGTGGAGCAGCCTACACTTAACCTGCTATGCCACAACACTGACCCCAACACCTGATTTTTTCCATTGCCCCAGTGACAGCAATTGACTTGCTGTGTGTTGGGCAGGCAGACTCAGTTTTGAGATTCTATAGCAACTCAGTGTTCAATGGCACTAATGGGTTATAAGACAAAAATTACAAAGTGACCAATCACTGAAAACGATTTAACAACAGCACTATCAGGACCTCCTGCAACTTTGCTGGAAGCAAAGAACTGGCAGTTTCTATCTCTCTCTCTCTCTTTCTCTCTCTCTATTTCTCTCTCTCTCTTTCTCTCTCTCTCTCTCTCTCTCTCTCTTTCTCTCTCTCTCTCTTTCTCTCTCTCTCTTTCTCTCTCTCTCTCTCTCTTTCTCTCTCTCTCTTTCTCTCTCTCTCTCTCTCTCTCTTTCTCTCTCTCTTTCTCTCTCTCTCTTTCTCTCTCTCTCTCTCTTTCTCTCTCTCTCTTTCTCTCTCTCTTTCTCTCTCTCTCTCTTTCTCTCTCTCTCTCTCTTTCTCTCTCTCTCTTTCTCTCTCTCTCTTTTTTTTTTTTTTTTTGACAGGCAGAGTTAGACAGTGAGAGAGAGACAAAGAGAAAAGTCTTCCTTCCATTGGTTCATTCCCCAAAAGGCTGCTATGGCCAGCACACTGCACTGATCCGAAGCCAGGAGCCAGGTGCTTCCTCTTGTTCTCCCATGCAGGTACAGGGGCCCAAGCACTTGGGCCATCCTCCACTGCCTTCCCGGCCACAGCAGAGAGCTGGACTGGAAGAGGAGCAACCGGGACAGAACCGGCGCCCCAACTGGGACTAGCACCTTGGGTACCGGTGCCGCAGGTGGAGGATTAGCCTAGTGAGCCGCTGCGCTGGCAGCAATTTCTTAATTAACAAATAAACAAGTAAACAAACAAAAAACCCTTGGGTGGTAGGGGTCTTTTGGGACAAAGAAAAGGGAGAACAAAGAGCTACCTGGCCTAATTGGTATTTACGGGTGCATGTACAACCCTGTAGCAACCTTGTAGCCTTGGGAAATTCCATCAGAACTTATGTAACCATATAAGGGGGACAAGAAAGAGGGAGTATATAAGGCAAGGTTCTGCTGCATTGCGGGTTCAGCTGAGCCAGTGCCGGCACGAATGAGTGTCTGTTCCGGCATCCTGCTACACTTGCTATCAGGTCATTACCATCTTTCACCTTGATTGATGCCTGAGAAGTTTTTAATCCCCCAACCCTCACCTGGGAATCTGATCCCCACTCCATCCCTGTGCTGACTGGGAGGCTCAGATCTGTGTTAGGGGAAGTGAGAACTGAGATAGTAAAGAGGCTGGGTCACAGGAGGGAGCACGAGTAGACAGGACATTCTGTCAGCTCCTCCCTCCCTCTCTCCCTCCCTCCCTCCCTCCCTTCCTCCCTCCCTCCCTCCCTCCCTCCCTCCCTTCTTTCCTTCTTTCCTTCCTTCCTTTCCTTTCTTTCTTCTTTATTTATTTAAGAGGCAGAGTTACAGACAGATAGAAAGACAGAGAGAAGTCTCCCATCTGCTGGTTCCCTCCACGAACAACTGCAATGGCCAGGGCCGAAGCTAGGAGCCTAGAGCTTCTCCCAGGTCGCCCACGTGGGTGCAGGGGCCTAAGCACTCTGGCCATCCTCCACTACTTCCCCATGCCATTAGCAAGGAGCTGGATCGGAAGAGGAGCAGCAGGGATTCGAACCTTTGCCCATATGGGATGCTGGCACCGCAGGTGGAGGCTTAACCCGCTACATCACAGCATCCGGCCCCCCAGTGTCGGTTTCTTGAAAGTGTCTGTGCTGAGGCAGGTGTCTAGTGCAGGGATTAGGACACTGTTGGGGATGCCTGCACCCCACAGCAGAATGTGTGCATTTGGGTCCAGCTCTGCTTCTGATTCTGTTAGGGAGGAAGGCAGACACCCAGGCGTGTGAGAATGAAAACAGGAAGTTCCTGCAGTTGAATTAGGGAAGAAGTGGAAAAGTAGGCCTTGGAAGCTGCCCACCATTTTCACATTAAAAGCCCTATAATAATGTCCCAGGCCTCCTCTGGGGAGTCTTCCCAGCCCTGTGCCAGGGGAGCTATTAGGTCCAATAACACTGTGCTGATAAAGCCCAGGGAGGAATTCCACAAACTCCATGCCTGGAAAGCCTGTACCCGGCAATATCGCAGAAGAAGGGGGCAGGGGAGGAGGAACAGTGGCCCAACCCATAAAAACTCCGGTGTGAACGCACTCTGAGCACTCAGTTCTTTGATGAGATACCCACCTGGACTGCCAGGTGCATTCTCTTGGTTAAATTTGCTAACACGCTTGCTGCTGATTTCTGTCTCATGTCTGCAATTCTTTCCTTACCTGAAGACAGGAAGTTCTGTTCAGCCACCTCTGGTACCGATTCCAGTGTCCTGCTGAGGAGCACCCTGGGAGGCAGCAGGTAACATTCCAAGAACTGGGTCCCTGTCACCCATGTGGGACCGGGATTGAATTCCTGGCTTCTGACTTCAGCCTGGTCCAACCGCAGGTGCTGTAAACATTTGGGGAGTGAACCAATGGATGGAGACACTTCTATGTCTCTCTCTCTCCCTCTCTCTCTGCGTGTGTGTATATGTATGTGTGTGTGTGTGTGTTTCTGTCAAAAGAAGAGAAATAAATTCTAAAAATTAAGAATAATATTTGTGCTGGATACCCCATGGAAAATCTTCATGAACCCTGGCCTGAAAGGGGGGTTATCTGTGGAAGGTGGCCCCAGGACATTAGGAGAGGTCCCTAAACTAAAGATAGTATCTGCTCCCCAGCTCCGCCCAGATATGCAAATCACCCGCTTGGAAAAAGCTGTTGGGCCACAGGAAACTCACCCTAACTGTAAAGCACTGACATTACAAGTATGCCTCTTGGATTGTTGTCCATATCGCCCCACTGCTCCACTGCAAGTATGTTGTGCCAGTCACCCTAAAGAGAAACTACCGCTACAGGTAGATCCCTCAGCTTACAGTCTGTCCCATAACAGCGGCCAGTTCTTATGTTCTATTGATTTTCTGTGTTCAACAAGTTTAGGGTTACTCTCTAGCTTCCTTGGTGAATTATTTCACCACCTGCAACACCAGCTCCAATTAGTGACAAGGTAATATATACACAGCAACTTTCACAGTGAGAGAAAGAGTCTGGAGTCTGAGAAACTCCCACTGCCCACCATCTAGGGCCACCTCAGGGACCCTCTGGGCAGGTACTGGTCACTTGCCCTTAGATAGCTGCCTCTTCCATGCGGCCCAGTGCTCGGCCTGGTACCTGGAGGTCGGTAGTGCTTAGGAAATGGTTGACTCATTGGCTACAGGAGTGAGTGAACAGCATTTGAAGGCCAGTTAGTACTTGACCTAGGAAATGGGAGAAGGAGAGAATGAATATTCCTGAGAGTTAAAAATAAAATTTGAAATTTTAAAGGGGCCGGCTCTGTGGCATAGCAGGTAAAGCTGTAGCCTGCAGTGTTAGCATCCCATATGGGCTCCGGTTCAAGTCCTGGCTGCTCCGCTTCTGACCCAGCTCTCTGCTATGACCTGAGAGGGCAGAAGAAGATGGCCCAAGTGCTTGGGCCCCTGAACCCACATGGGAAGGCTTGGAGGAAGCTCCTGGCTCCTGGCTTCAAATCGGCACAGCTCCAGTCATTGTAGCCATCTGGAGAGTGAACCAGCAGATGGAAGATCTCTCTCTCTGTCTCTCTGTCTCTCTCTGTCTCTCTCTCTCTCTACCTCTCTCTCTCTGTGTAACTCTGACTTTCAAATAAATAAATAAATCTTTAAAAAAAATAAAGTGAACCTGCAGATGATTCCCGGGGGACCCAGCTTTTCCTCCCACATAGCATCCTTAAGTCATTGCCTCCTTTTCCCAGAAAGGATGTTGAGGTGGGCCTGCAATTGAAAACCCCAAAAACAATTGGAAGAGTTGCTATAGAACCCCAAAACTGGGCCCGCTCACCTGATGACAATCACTGACAGCAGAGCTGTGGGAAAAGCAGGTGGCATTGCAAAGCACAGGGCAAATGAGCCGGGCAGCCGGTGCTCCATTCCCAGGCTCCCTGGGGGTGAAGGCAGTGAGTTCCAGCTGGAATTTAGGGATGAGCAGTGCGTGATCTGCTCCTGCGTGGGCCACAGCACACGAGGGCTTCCTGGGATGGGTCAGTGCTAGGGGCCAACAAGTTTCCTCTGGAGTGGCAAGGGTGGACCTCTGTGTGGTCTAAGGGTAGATTAGGTGTCAGCTCTTTGATCAGGGCCTCTGAGCTCCTGGAACACTTCTCCACTGAGGTCCAGCACCAGCATGTTAGTTACAGGGATGATACAGGAACTTCAAGGCCTGCCTGGGAGTTCTTACAAAAGGTCTCAGGGGGACCGGCGCTGTGGCGGAATGGGTAAAAGCCTCCGCCTACAGTGCCTGCCTCCCATATGGGTGCTGGTTTGAGTCCCGGCTGCTCCTTCTGATCCAGCTCTCTGCTATGGCCTGGGAAACAGTAGAGGATGGCCCAAGTCCTTGGGCCCCTGCACCCGCACGGGAGACCTAGAGGAGGCTCTGGTTCCTGACTTTGGATCAGCACAGCTCCAGCCATTGTGGCCATCTGGGGAGTGAACCAGCGAATGGAAGTCCTCTTTATCTCTCTCTCTCACTCTCTCTCTCTCTCTGCCTCTGCCTTTCAAATAAAATACTCTGAGAAAAAAAAAAGTCTCAGGATAGAGGCCAACATTAAACATGAACTATGCTAACTACAGGGGCAACCATGGTGTCACTCCCTTCACTTAATGTTTAGAGGAAGTGCAGGCTAAGGGAGAGATGCTGGGACCTGAGGACATCTACAGGAGAAGCTTAGGGATGGGGCTTGGTTAGACCCCACGCTGGGTGCGCCACTGAAGGAGCCCTCAGGACCAGAACAGAGTGAACCAGCGCTCACTGTTTCCCTGTGCACTTGGTTGAACCTGACCTCTCCTGGGCCCAGAGAGCCTAATTACACACAAGGTAGACCACACAGGGCAGGGCTGGGCCTTGTGTACACAGAAGACCTGTTTCCTCTTTCGAAAGGAAAGAGGATTTCTCTTTAGGTCTCAAAGAGATGCTGGTTACTTTCAGAAGCTCAAACAGCCAGCCGCTTGCCTCCGGGCATGGGGACAGAGCCCTGATCCTCTCGGCCCTGCTCCCCAGTCCTCATTGGCTGTAACCCTGCCTTGTCTTTTTTCTTCTGCTTTGTCCTTTCATTTACTCATCTCCCTCCCTGTGTTGTGGGATGGGGTCCCCAGCCAGATTTATCTCAAGTCCTTGTCTCAGCACGAGAGATGAATTCGAAGCAGAGACATAGAAAGTGCAAGAATGAGAGCAGGATTTATTTAAAGAGAGAGTACCCATTTAGAAATGAATGTGGGCAGCCTCCCACTAGGAGAGAGGGCGCTTGCCCCCAAGTTCGATGGCCCCTCCCCCTATCAGGTAGAGAGTGGGGTGGAGTTTGGGCGGGGCTTCAGTGATCTCTGGGAAGGTTTTTTGGCAACTCAGTGAGAGCTCAGCATACACGTGGCCATCACGGAGTCTTGTGCATGTTGAGGGAGCGAGGGCAAGTGGACGTGCCCAATCAGCACACACGGGGTGGGGATTCAGTAGCTAGATATGAAGTAGGGGAGCTGGGTGTTAATTTTTATTCCATATCAGATCCATAGAAACTCCAGTCTGAATACAGACTGAGTGCTTAATTCTTTACTGGTCGATCAGGTGTATTTCTCTTCATTAACCTCTGCTACCTCACCGTCCGCGTCGGAATTCATTCTTGCGCAGAGAACCTCCGAGCTGCCGTCTCCAGTAACACTGGCAGTCTCTTAGGGCTGACACAAATAGAGGAAATTTTATTCAAAAGGTGAGAAAGTGAAAACACACACAGAGAGACATGTGTTGTATGGGCTGCCCCATACAGAGGCATACCCATCATGAATGGGTAGTGGGCCAGAGGAGAAAGGGGTGGGAGAAGGGGAGACAGGGGCAAGACCCCAGCACCTCCTCTCGTTGTGATCTCTGGAGGAAGAGACAGGCGCCGCCTCCCCCCACCCCACACCCCCCATCCAGCTGGCCTCTTGTATGAGCTCAGCCAAGGGCCCTCTACAGGTGGTTTTATGACACTTCCGTGAAATTCCAAGTGGAGCTTAATATATTTATCTCCATGGCAGCTTCCCCCAGGTCTTGGATGAAACAGATGCAACCCAGGAAAAGGGGGGCTATGATTGACGTGTAGAATAGAGTTGCACATGGGGCAGGGACCTGTGATTTGCAGGTACCTCCAGCTCAGCAGATCCTAAACCAGCTGCCTGCCTTGCCCATATCAGGTAGCCATGAGCCTGTGTGTGCAAGTGGGGCCAAAGGAAATGGGAATTTTTTTTTAAGAAAACAGGAGTTTTGCACAATGGAATGCAGAAGCAAGCCCTGGAAACAGACCAGCAACGGCATCTGAAATGTTGCTCTCGTTCAATAACCAAGATAGCCAGGTCCCAGCCCTCTGCTGAGGGCCGCTGTGGGGAATGTTCCCCGCCCCGTGCCAAGGGGGCTAGGAGGTCCAATAACACTGTGCGGATAAGGTCCTGGGAGGACTTTTGGGAAAGCCACACCCAGAAAGCCTCCACCCAGCGAGTTCCCAGAAGACAGAGGAGGAGGAGGGGATGAGAAATGGGACAGGGGGAGGGGTCCCAGGGGACTCCCATTCCTGCCCATAAAACCCCAGTCGGAATGCAGACTGGGCTCTCAGTTCTTTCCAGAAATGCCTGCCTGGTCTGTCAGGTGCACTCCCTTCATCACCAGCCTCAGTGCCTGCTGGGCACCCAAGCACTTGAGCCATCATCTGCTGCTTCCCAGGTGTTAGCAGGGAGCGCGATAGGAAGCATGGAGTATCCAGGACCAGAATCAGCACACCAATGTGGGATGCAAGCATCCCAAGTGTTAACCCACTGTGCCGCAATGCCCACTCCCAGACCTGTTATATTCATTTGCTTATTAGCTTCACATGGCTGGAGAACAAAACACAAATACAGAGGGAATCAAGTTGATCCTCAGCCTCTCCGGCAGTACAAAAGGTTCCCTGGATGGTAGAGCACGAGGGCTGATTGGTGTCTTCTCTAAGTTTCCTTCATCTTCTGAGTTGTTAGCCACAGACCAGATTAGAATGAGTACCAGCTGCTCCTGCGGGGGCACCCGATCCTGGCTTTGTGGTCAAACAAGGCAGGGCCATGCCCAATGCCAAAAACGGATTTGGTTGTGCTGAGTTTATAATTATTCCTTGAACTGTACTTGTATGTTCAATGTGCTCGTAGTGCACATATGATATATTTCACAGTTTAACAACACAGGTCTGCTCCCCAGAGGCAGAGAGCACTGTGATGGTGGCTTCTGAACACTGTTCTCCAATAAAGGAATCAGGAGTCTTTAGAGTGAGAGCTGATCTAGGGGGTGGGCAGGGAAAAGACAAGATGAGCCCAGAACATCTTGCAGTACCAGAAAGCAAAGAGGCTCTCAAAAGGCAAAAGTGTGGGGGCGTGGCCAGGGGACACGGGAGTCCTCATGGCAAGCTGGGCAATCCGAGCACCGCAATAAATAACGCAGTATTGAACTATTCCCCAGAGCATAAAACAACTATGCATCAGTCTGTTCTATATAAGTAAACAAATAAATAGGGGAGAAGGGATCCCTATTTTTTTCCAAATATTTATTTAAAAGGCAGAGAGAGAAAAACAAAGAGATCAGTCAATCTTGCATCCAGGAGTTTGCTCCCCCAACATCCACAACAGCTGGGGCTAAGCCAAGTCAAAGTCAGGAGCCTAGAACTCCATCAATTCTCCCACACGAGTGGCAGGGGTCCAGGTGGATACAGGATAGGCAGGCAGCTAAGTTAGGACCATGGAGCTGGAAGTCACAAGCCACTCCCTGCCATCCTCCACTGCCTAACAGGTGCATGAGCAGGGAATTGGACCGGAAGCACCAAATCCAGGACTTGCACCAGGCACTCCACTCCAGGATTCAGGCATCCCAAGTGGCAGCCTGACCTGCTGCGCCACAACACTTGCCCCATGAACAGAACTTTAAAGGAGAATTCCAAATACTTCCATCCAGGATCGCCTCTCCAAGAGGTGGGGGCTTAAGCACCCCTCTCACCCCTTGAGTGTGGGCCGGACTTAGCAACTTGCTTCAGTGGAACAGGATGGAAAAGGAAGTGGATCAGGCAGGGGGAGGGGAGTGGGTTGGGGCAGAAGTAACTGTACATGGAGGAAGCTGGCAAACTGCACCACGTGCTCAAGGTTAGCGTCGCCAGTGCTATATTCTGTGGGTGGCGTGAGCTGCCTAATGAGAAGTGATGAGAAGGGAACCTCCCCTCTGCGAATTCTTCCCAAAACCCATGACCCTGCTCAAGACAGGAGGGAAACATTGGACAAACCTGCACGGGGTGACGTTCTGCCAGACGCCTAGCCAATGCTCCTTGAGACTGCCAAGGTCGTAGGAACAGGAAAGTTCTAGAAACGCTCCCTGACCAGAGGAGGTTAAGGAGATGCAGTGCTAAATGCAACATAGCTTGGGCAGGGCCCAGGAACAGAGAGAGGACAATCGTGGGAAAACTAAGGAAATCCAAGTAAGTCTGGAGTTTAGCTGATGATAATATTTCTTTTCTAAAAAAAGATTTAGGGGCTGGCGCTGTGGTGTTGTGGGTAAAGCCACTGCCTGCAGTGCCAGCATCCCATATGGGCACCGGTTTCAGTCCCGGCTCCTCCACTTCCAATCCAACTCTCTGCTATGGCCTGGGAAAACAGTGGAAGATGGCCCAAGTGCTTGGGTCCCTGTACCCGTGTGGGAGAACTGGGAGAAGATCCTGGCTCCTGGCTTCGGATCAGCACAGTTCCAACCGTTACAGCCATTTGGGGAGTGAACAGCAGATGGAAGACCTCTCTTCTCTCTCTCTCTCTCTCTCTCTCTCTCTCTCTCTGCCTCTCTGTAACTCTGCCTTTCAAATAAATAAATAAATCTTAAAAAAAAAAAAAAAAAAGATGTATTAGGGCTGGTGCTTGGTAGCTTTGGGATCCGAAAGGAGGGAAGGCCTACACTTCCAGGAATGGAGAGGCCTACTTCCGGGGAAGAAAGTCCTTGTCAAGGTCCCTGCAGGTGCCTAAAGGTCAACCAGTGAGAATCAGACCCGCCTCAACCTTTAACTCCCATGCCCTGAATCTATAAAAGGGGCTCTCCCAATCTCTGACGCGCGACTTCCCCGGCCCCCACTCTGTTGCTCTGTTGGGACCGGGGAACCTCGCCCGGGAGTGGAACCCCAATAAAAGCCTGTGAATTAATTGATTCGTCTGCCTGGGAAGATCTGTTACGCACCGGACACCTTACAGTGCTGTGGCACAGTGGGTTAAAGCCCCGGCTTGCAGAGCCAGCCTCCCATATAGGCACTGGCTGGAGTCCCTGTTAGTAAAATTGTGCCATCTTCCTAAGCTGGCTTACTAAAAGTCAGGTGACCAAATGGCCCAATCACAAGCGTCAGCTCCACCCCCACCCTAACAGGATTTGCCGCTCCCACTTCCTCACCCCTGCAAAGCTGTCTAAGACCTGTTCTTCTAGTACTGGCTGCCTGTCGGTTTCCCCGACCCGACAGTGAACCTCCCTTACTCCGGTGTCTGGTGTGTTTTGTGGTGGCCTTTCCTTTCAGTCCCCGATGCTCCTTTGCTAATGTGCCTGGGAAAGCGGCAGAGGATGGCCCAAGTCCTTGGGCCCCTGCACCCATGTGGGAGACCCAGAAGAAGCTCCTGGCTCCTGGCTTTGGCCTGGCTCAGCCATTTGGGGAGTGAACCAGCAGATGGAAGACCTCTCTCTCTACCTCTCTCTCTCTCTGTTCTCCCTCTCTCAGTAACTCTGTTTTTCAAATAAATAAATAAAACTTATTTTAAAGATTTATTTAAAGATTTATTTTATTTGAAAGAGTTACAGATGGAGAAAGAGAGAATATTCCATCCGCTGGTTCACTCCCCAGATGGTTGCAATGGCCAGGGCTGGGCCAAGCTGAAGCCAGGAGCCAAGGCCATTTTTCCAGGTCTCCCATGTGGGTGCAGGGGCCCAAGCACTTAGGCATCTTCTGCTGCTTTCCCAGGCCATAGCAGGGAGCTGGATAAGAAGTGGAGCAGCCAAGACACAAAAAACAGTGCCCATCTGGGATATTGGCATTGTAGGCAGTGGCTTCACTCACTACGCAACAACACCAGCCCCAGCTAACGATATTTGAATGCTGATGTCTTAGCTTCGAGAAATACAAAATGGTCAGCTCAGATGTTAATGTCAGGGGAAATTCAAGGGGTACACAGGAACTCTCTTTGCAACTTTGTGTACATCTAAAATGACTCCAAGGGAAAATGTGTTATGTATGTATCACAGTGAGTGTGTACAGAATGAATGAGACCGGAGGGAAAAGACATACAAGAGAGAGGAGGTCTGGCTTATTCCAGAGACCTCTGGTGAGGCCGCCTTGCGGGAAGCACGGGGCAGGGGGGTGGGGTTGCTGGCCCTGGGGACTTGCAGGTTATCTCCAAGTCAAGTCACGGCGGCGACTTTATCCGCGGCAGTGGGGAACCACCATCGACCCTTAAGCTGGGATGTGGCCTGATCACACAGCGACTCAGCCAGGGTCACCCCTCCAAGCCTCCTGTCTCTCACCCAGAGCCCCTTCCTTCCATTAGCTCCTTCTCCTTGGCCTCCTGAGGCCTAGCTCTGGTCTGGCATGAATCTGTCACCTGCTCCGAGACGACCATGCCCGCCCTCCTACCTCACCCCCAGCTTGGTTCAGCCAGCTGCAAAGGCGGGACATACCACACCCGTGAGGCCTGCACGCCTTTCTCCACGCCCAGCAGAGAGCCCTAGGCAGGGAGCTGCAGGGTGGAGCCTTCTATAAGATTCCACACCTCCCCACCCGGCTGAGTCACCTCTCTCAGCACCTTCCCCCTGCCACTGTGAAGTGAACCCAGTCCGTTGGTGAGGGAAGGGGGGGCTTCCAGACTGAGTCGGGACATCATGGCCAGAACTGCCCATTTTCAGTCTCTCTTCAACGTACCTGCTGGGAAACACAATTCCATCCAGGTCAGAAGCTGGAGGAAGGACAGAGGGCAGAGAAGAGCAGGGTGAGGGAGAGGAAATTACACTTCTGCCAGCCATAGAGCCACGAGTGTTCGTGTTAGAGCTAATCCCGCTCAGGGCCAGTGCTGTGCACAGTGAGTTAAGCCGCTGCCTGCAGCACTGGCATCCCAAGTCCCCACTGCTCCACTTCCGATCCAGCTCCCTGCTAATGCGCCTGAGAGCAGCGGAAGATGGCCCAGTGCTTAGCCACCTACATGGGAGACTGAAGAAGCTCCTGGCTCCTGGCTTTGACCTGGCTCAGCCATCTGGTGAGTGAACCAGCAGATGGAAGATCTCTCTCTGCTTCTCCCTCTCTCTGTGGCTCTGACTTTCAAGTAAAACAACTGAATCTTTGGAGGAAAAACACACACACACACACACACACACACACACATTGAATGCAGAGCGGCTTGGCCCAAAAAGGTGAGGTTTGGGCAAGTGAGGGCAGATTTTTCACAGGCTGAGGGTCACTGGCTGAGAATATGATTGATGAGTTACAAACAAGTCAGACGTGCCGAGAGTCGGGTGTACGGGAAAGCAGGCCACGGCTGAATTTTTAGAAGGATGTTTCTGGGCCCAGGTCAGGAACCTGCAGATAAAGAACCCAGGATTGTGCAAGGTGCTGCACACGGCCCGGGTGCAGCCACCCCCATGCCCAGCACCTGTTACCCGGCCCAGCAGCTAGGCCCTCACCTCCCGGGATGCTCTCGGCAGGTGCTTCTCTTGAACGGGTTGCAGGCTTTTTGGAGGCGGTTTGTTCCCACTCATCGAGATGTATTTATAGACGTAGTTCTTTGCTTGTTATCTGTGTCCACCTGCCAGGATGGAAACAGCTGTGAGGTCGGGGATCTGGTCTGTTGTGTTGACAGCTGGATTTCCAGGGCCCAGGAGATGACTTGGTCCCTAACACACAAGCAGGGGATGAATGCAAAGGGCAAGTCCAGCTTCCTTCCCCCGAGAGCGGTCGGTCCTCACCCTGTGAAGCCTCGCCACTCTGATAACCCCTCAGGGCTCCTTCTGCGTCCTCTTCCCCAGCCCAGGGTTGACACAGCACCCATGCAGGTGCTCCGGCCAGAAACCAGAGCTCCAGCTCAGATCACCTGGGTAAACATCTCAGCGGCCTGCGACCAGGCCAGGATCCTAACGTGGCTTAGAGGCACTGCCTGACCTTGCCGGCCACTGCCTCGTTTTTTAACCACACTCTGCTCCCGCCTGGGTGAATGGCTCCGAGTTCCTCCAATGTGCCCATGGTATGCCTTCTGCTTAGGAGCTGGCCACTCCTGCCCAGCACTCAGCTCTCAGCCTGGGTGCCACTTTCTCCTGGGAGCCCTCCCCACATTCTTCAGCCACAGCACCAGCCCCCAACATACCTTTAATTCTCAAGATTACCCAAGACATAGATATTTTTATCCCCATTATGCCTCAGAGGCTCAGGTCAAGTGCAATAACTTGGCCAAGGTCACTGAGATGTGATGACCATGGGGCAGGGATCTTTCTGGCACTGTTAAGGGGCTTGTGGCATTCCACCTGCTGACTTGGTCATCAGCTGAGCTGAGTGCAGAGAAGGCAAAAAAGTCAAGCCGGGGTCCTGGTAGAGAAGGTGGCTGTCCTGCTGCGGGCAAGATGGGCTAAGCACAGGAGGCTTTTGAAATGGAGGTTAAGGTTTGGCTCCACTCAGCACAGGCATGGAGCCCCACTTCTGCAGATGCAGGAGCTGCAAGGGGTCGGGAGGAGCCCTGGGACACTTTCCAGCCGTGTCAGCACTGAGCCACTGCCCACACCTTACATGAGGAGGGTAGGCTGGGGTGGCAGTTGATGGCCAGAACGCTCACAGGAAGGGGACGCTCAACTGTTACCAGGGCTCAGCGCCACCTTGACCTGCTGCTCCACCAAGAATTTGATCCTGGAGGAGGAGGTGCAGGATGCATCGTGAGCCACTAGGTGGCACTGTGGATGGAGGCCACACAAAAGACTCCACGAGCACTTTTCTGCGGAGCGGAGCGCTCAGGGCCGGGAGAGGTCAGCTCCTCCTCCTGCAGGAGGCTCAGAGATGTTATCCAGCCGGAGCCAGGGCCGAGACCTGGGCCTGCCGGTGACGTCAGGACGCTCGACCTTTTCCAGATCATCACGTTGTGTCTAGACATTCGCGTCCACCAATGGCGTGAGCTCACTCAGGACACTGACATCCCCCTGGGCCTCTGTTTTTCCATCCGTGGAATGGAAGATTAGGCTGGATCCCGGATGAGAAAAGGTAGCCACTAGCCGCATGCACTACTTGAATTAAATCATTAAACTAATTAAATGAAAAATTTAGCTTTCAGTCACACTAGCTAGGTTTCTTTATTTATTTGAAAGGCAAAGTTACAGAGAGAGGGAGAGAGAGATCTTCATCTACTGGTTCACTCCCCAAATGACCACAGTGGCCAGGGCTGGGCCAGGTCAAAGCTGGGACCTAGAACTCAGGCTGGGTCTCCCGCGTGGGGGCCAGGGACCCAAGTGCTTGGGCCATCATCTGCTGCCTCCAGGGTGTGCATTAGCAGGAAGTGATATGGGAGGCCAGTGTCCCAAGTGGTGACCTAACTACCACATCAATCATCCGCCCCTCAGCCTGAGTTCTTGACCATCTAGCACTGGGAAATACAGCAGAGAATAAAATCAATAAAAAGCCTCCTTTTGTGAGTTGGTATCTCAGTGGGTCCGATTATAACAAACCATGTCTCCTGGGGCCGGCCTGGTGGCACAGCTAAGCTTGTGAAGCCGGCATCCCGTATCTGAGTACCTGTTTGAGTCCTGGCTACTCCACTTCTGATCCAACAACCTGCTGATGCACCTGGGAAGGCAGCAGATGATCATTGCCAGAGTATTTGGGTCCCTGCCACCCGTGTGAAACCTGGATGGAGTTCCTGGCTCAGAGCTTCGGCCTGGCCCAGCCCTTATTATTGTGGGCATTTGGGGAGTGAACCAGTAGTTGGAAGAATGGAAGATCTCTCTTTCCCTCTCTTTATCTCACTCTTCCTTTCACATAAATAGTTAAGTAAATATTTTAAAACATTAAATAGAGGGGCCGGCACTATGGCATAGCAGGTAAAGCCACTGCCTGCAGTGCCGGCATCCCATATGGTGCCAGTTCAAGTCCTGGCTGCTCCACATCCGATCCAGCTCTCTGTTATGGCCTGGGAAAGCAAAAGAAGATGGCTCCAGTCCTTGGGCCCCTGCACCCACGTGGGAGACCCAGAGGAAGCTCCTGGCTCTTGGCTTCAGACTGGCACAGCTCGAGCCATTGTGGCCAACTGGGGAGTGAACCAGTGGATGGAAGACCTCTCTCTCTCCCTCTCTCTCTCTCTGCCTCTTCTCTCTCTGTGTATCTCTGACTTTCAAATAAATAAATAAATTAAAAAAAATCCACCATCTATCTATTTTAAAAATAAATAAATAAAATAAAATAGAAACCACACCACCTGCCATCAAGGTAACTTAGAACAGTGTGTATTAAATTTTAATATTGAAGTAGATGGGCATCAATATGAATGCATATCTAATTAAAATGCAGCTTAAGGGCATGGCATAGAGTCCCTGAACTTACATTTATGTATTTTTCTTAAAGATTTCATGTTATAGGGAGGGAGAGAGAGAGAGAGAGAGAGAGATCTTCCATCCATTGATTGACTCCCCAAATGGCCACAACAACCAGGCTGGGCCGAGTGGAAGGCAGGAGCCAGGAGCTCCATCTGGGTCTCCTCGGTTGAGTGGCAGGGGCCCAAGTACTCGGGGCATCTTCCACTGCCTTCCCAGGTGCATTAGTAAGGAGCTGGATGGGAAGCGGAGTAGCCAGGACTGGAGCTGGCACTCTGAGGTGGAATGCCAGTGTTGCCCACTGCACCCAATGCTAGCCTCTCTTTTCTTTGAATCTGAATTTCTAATAAGTTTCTGAGTGATGCCAATGGTGCTGGTCCTGTTAGGTAGCAAGTCAGGAATTAGCCTGTGTGTGTTTGTGAGACAGGCCTGAAGACCAGCACCTGCTGCGGAAGCTCCAGAAGCCCAGCATCTTGCACTTCACAGTCCTGCTCAGACCTTCCCCCAAGGAAAGCTCCCAGGAGAACTCTCCTCAGGACCAAATGGGCTACCTGATTACACGGGGCACCAAAATCTTCTCAGACGTTCTGCCCCAGCCACCAAATCTGGGGAGGAATTTGCTAATTTTCACCCAACAAACCCTTTGGCTGGGGCTCTCCATCCTTTGTCCCGGAGGAGAGGGGGAGGTGGGTAAACAGACTCCCTTAAAAACCTAGGGAGTGGCCGGCACCGCGGCTCACTAGGCTAATCCTAATCCCGGCACCCAGAGTTCTAGTCCCAGTCAGGGCACCGGATTCTGTCCCAGTTGCTCCTCTTCCAGGCCAGCTCTCTGCTGTGGCCTGGGAGTGCAGTGGAGGATGGCCCAAGTGCTTGGGCCCTGCACCCCATGGGAGACCAGGAAAAAGCACCTGGCTCCTGCCATCGGATCAACGCGGTGCGCCGGCCGCGGTGGCCATTGGAGGGTGAACTTACAGCAAAGGAAGACCTTTCTCTCTGTCTCTCTCTCTCTCTCACTGTCCACTCTGCCTGTCAAAAAAAAAAAAAAAAAACAGGCCGGCGCCGCGGCTCACTAGGCTAATCCTCCGCCTAGCGGCGCCGGCACACCGGGTTCTAGTCCCGGTTGGGGCACCGGATTCTGTCCCGGTTGCCCCTCTTCCAGGCCAGCCCTCTGCTGTGGCCAGGGAGTGCAGTGGAGGATGGCCCAGGTGCTTGGGCCCTGCACCCCATGGGAGACCAGGAAAAGCACCTTGCTCCTGGCTCCTGCCTTCGGATCAGCGCGGTGCGCCGGCCGCAGCGCGCCAGCCGCGGCGGCCATTGGAGGGTGAATCAACGGCAAAAGGAAGACCTTTCTCTCTGTCTCTCTCTCTCTCTCACTGTCCACTCTGCCTGTCAAAAAAAAAAAAAAATAAAAAAAAAAAAACAAAAAACAAACAAACAAACAAAAAAAAAAAACTAGGGAGTCTAAACAGACAGTGAGCTCAGCCCTCAGCCTCTCTGCTGAGCCCTCCTGGCCTGCCCAGGTGAATTCTCTCCACTCAGCCATGTAACCTCGCTCTCCCCCAGTCCAAGCAACTGGGCACTCTCTGTCCCTTCTGTTCTGATGGATGCCCTATCCCCAGTAAAGCCTTATCACTTCGCTGTCTGTCTCACGCCTGAATTCTTTCTTGCGTGAAGACAAGAACCCTGTGGTTTCCACGGCCTTTCCTCCGGTGACAGTCCCAGAGCACATTTTAAACAACAAGTGAAGTGGGCGGGTATACAGGTTAAAATCGCCAGGTTTGTGAGCTGGAAGACCATGCCTTCACCACGCCCCTGTGTGACTTCATGCCCTTACCTGGCCACACCTGTGCAACCACCTGCCAATCAGGTTAATTAACCACTCCCCTTTGGAAGTGGATTAAAAGCCTGAGACGGGATGTGTCTGGCCCTTTCCTCCATTTTCCTCACCCTGGCCTCTTGCCAGGAGGGGGCTGGCCACAGTCCTGCGCCTCCAGGACCCTTGGGCCACCCACACCATGCTTCCTGGCATAGATGCTCCTCCACGTGGCTGGTTCCTGGTACTCAGTATGAATCCAGATGTACCCCTCTCTCTTAGATAAAGCCCACACTCTCCTATGCATCTTCACACTAAATAAAAGCTTAAAATGTACCATGCTGCTGCATTCATTTATGTAGTATTCAGAATTCTCTAAATATTAGGCAAAAACCGACATGAGCTTATTAATATGGGGAAATTATTAATAAGAATATGGTGATATCGTATGGCACCCCAAATTCCAGCATCATATATGGGACTTTTGGGGGACTTTAAGGAGCCATACATTCTGGTATCATACTTTAGGGGGTCAATAACGATATCACAAGGACTTACAGAGGTTTGGGGCAAGACAAAATCGCCATGTGTGAGTCCCTTAATACCAGGTGTTCATGTGTGGCTCTTCCCAGGAAGCCCTTTCTTGCTGGTCCTTAGTTCTAGGTCAGGAAGGCTCTTCTGGGCCTCTCACCCCTCAACTCCCCTGGGCCTTGCCTTTGTCTCAGCTTCTCCCACGCAGGCACAACCTGTGTCAGTCTCTTTCACTTCTTTCTTTAAGATTTATTTATTTGAAAGGCAGAGTTACAAAGAAAGGGAGAGACAGACAGAGATCTTCCATCCACTGATTTACTCTCCAGATGGCTGCAGTAGCTGGGACTGGGCTGGGCCAAGGCCAGGAGCCAGGAGCTTCTTCTGGATCTCCCACATTGGGCCATCTTCTACTGCTCTCCCAGGAGTATTAGCAGGGAGTCGGACTGAAGTCGGCCCTCTGACATGGGATGCAAGCTTTGAGGCAGTGGCTTAACCCACTACTCCACAATACTTGCCCCCCACACTATTGTTTAATAGTTATTAAATTCTTTAAAAGTTTCATTTATTTTCATCTACCTGAAAGGCAAAGTGACAGAGAGCAAGAGATCTTTTCATCCTCAGTTCATTCCCCAAATGCTCACAACAGCCAGAGCTGGACCGCGATGAAGCCCGGAGCCAAGAACTCCATCCAGGTCTCCCACCTGGGTGGCAGGGACTCAAGAACTTGAGCCATCATCTGCTGCCTCCCAGGATGCATTAGGAGGAAGCTGGACTGGACATAGAAGAGCTGGGACTTGAACCAGGCACTCTGGTATGGAATAGAAGCACCTGCTGCACCACGACGCCCACCCTGTAATTATTAAACTTTTAGCTGATGTGTAATAATTACAGATATCTAGGGGCTATAGCCCTATCTAGGCTATATAGCCCTGTGGTGTAGCAGGTGAGGCCGCCGCCTGCAGTGCCAGCATCCCGTGTGGGTGCTGGTCCGAGTCCCGGTTATTCCACTTCCGACCCAGCTCTCTGCTATGGCCTGGGAAAGCAGTAGAAGATGGCCCAAGTGCTTGGACTCCTGTATCCGTGTGAAAAGACCTGGAAGAAGCTCCTGGGTCCTGGCTTCAGATTGGCGCAGCTCCAGCCGTTGCGGCCAATTGGG